ACGTCTGCTGGCAGAGCTCATCGGAGGAGCTGTCCGCGCACCGAAGCTCATGGTGGACAACAAGTCCGCCATCGCACTGATGAAGAACCCTGTTCATCACGACCGGAGTAAGCACATTGATGTAAAATACCACTTCATCCGGGAGTGCTGGGACAGAAGGCTGATTGACATAGAGTTCGTCGGCACTGAGCATCAGCTGGGCGACATTCTCACAAAAGCGCTCGGTCGTTCTCGGTTTCAAGAGCTCCGTGGTGAGATCGGCATGAAGAAGTTAGGCTAGTGACTCCAGGACTTAGGAGGAGAATGTTTGAATAAGTCCTTGAGCATCTAATTGTAGAAGGTAGAGGCGCCTAACGCCATTAGAGGCAGGCCACAGATTGCGGCATGGCCCAGGTGGTTGGGATGGCAACCACTGATCACGAGTATGCCGGGATTAGCAGGTCCTTTCATTTCCTTGTAACACAGCATGTAATTCCTTTATATAGTGTATGCAATCAATAGAAAACGCTGCCGCTTTGCAGCCCAAATCACTGTGTCCAGTTTGTGTTCGCGTGTGTTTTTCATCCTCCTCATCGGAGTTCTATCAACAACTACCTCCTAGAACTCGGCGTCTCCAACGACGTCCGCCACTGACCACCGGCGGCCACGGGGCGTTATAAGCAGGTGTTGAACGCCGCCGCCGCCGCCAGGGGCATCCGCCCTTTCCTTCCTTCCGTGCGACTCCGTCCAGAAGGATGCTCTCTCGTGCGTGCTCAGGTGAGGCTGAAGTGCTTGCCGGGCTGGGCTGCTCGGCCAACAGGCCTTGAAGTGGCCCAGTCCGGTCATTGACTTTTATTCATTTCCATATTTTTCAACAACAAAATAAAAGGGAAAACCTCCCTTCAAGCCGGTGACTGAGGGGGACAGTGGCATGCTGATGTGTCGTAGCACGCTGCAACAGACCAACAGCTCCCTCACCATTTCGGTATTTGACAATGTAGACTTTACTTTAGTTCATGAGTCGGCAAAATAAACTAGTTTGAATCAAAACTATTAGGTGATAGGCAGTCAGTGACAAAGAATTAGGCATAACGGCGCGACTGCACTGATTTTGCTTCTTCATGTGACATCATCAGTGCTGCCTGCATGGCCGTTGTCCACATCATCTGAGCAACAGCTCAAGTATGAGGAGGTTTCGTCATCATCATCGTCTTCGGCATTCAGCTCTGCACCATAGTAGGCACCTGCTGACGATTCACCCGCTCCGCGTAACATAGGCATAGGCAAGATCATACTCTCGCATTTCAGCATCATGAGAACATCCGACATGGTTGGCCTGTCCGCCCGATTTAGTTGAACACACAGTAGTGCTATTTGAAGACATCGTAATATCTTGCTCATTTGAGGATCGTGACGCAGTGATCCATCTATTAGGTCCATTGCTCTTCCGGATGACCATAATTCCCAAGCCTGCATAAATGCGTGCTCCACTCAAATAAAAGAAAAAACCTAGCACAAGACAACTATAGCGATGAAATTGGGCAAAATTACAAAATGAATATATATGGACAGAAGTTGAGGATTCTATTTTGTGCAAGAATTGTGTTGACCAGTATTATTGATTATGCATACCAAGCGTTTCAAAAATGTACTTACATGCCGAGTCAATACTTGCACCGACACATCCCCTGAGTCTGACTCCAAGTTGCGTTCTATAGCATGCCGTGCAGAGATTATCTCGAGACATATAACACCGAAGCCATACACATCACTTTTGGTTGAGATAATCATTGTCGCATGAAATTCAGGATCAAGGTAACCCCTGCAACAGAGCTTGACAAAAAATGATTCAGGCCATGTATGAACAAGAGCTTAATGTTATGATGAATCGGTATAAGATGTACTCTTACGTAGTCCCTGTTACATAAACACACACTTTCTCATCTTCATCTGAACTTAAGATTTCAGAGCTGCCAAAATCAGTAATCCTAGGAGTCATATCACAATCCAGCAAAATATTGGCTGATTTCACATCCCCATGAACTAAGCGTAGTCGGGAATGCTGGTGTAGGTAAACAGCACCCTCGGCAATATCAATTATCCGAAACCGTAAAGGCCATGCGATGGACACACCTGCTTTCAGCTCTTCAATAATGACAACACTTAAAAGGGGGAATCAACAATGAACTGCAAAAAGTTCTGGCGAAGTATACCATGAACTATATCGCGCAAACTTCCCCTTTGCGCATATTCGTAGACTAAAATCCTATTATCACCTTCAGTGCAACATCCCAGAAGTTTGATAATATTTGCATGCTGAAATTTCGGGATGATTTGAACCTCCTTTGCAAATTCTTCATGCTGACTAGATCTACCAGAAGAATTAGGGAATTTTATCGCAACATCAGCCCCAGTTGGCAATACACCCTGAAAAGGAGCAAAAAAAAGTCTAAATATGATCAATCCCCACCAATCCTCTTCATAGCTTCCAAGGTGTTTGGTCTATACAAAAATTTATATGCATTTTCTGCGAGGAAATGGCTATGAAAATTTTAGGTTCTGTAAAATACAAATATAGCTTCAAACAAATTCATGATAAAACAAAGTAAGACAAGACAAGGAAATGATGAAACAACTTTGAATGGTAAACAATATGGGTGGCTAGTAAAAATAGCAAAAACAAATTCAAGTGGTTTTTGCGTAGTTTTAAGAAAAACTGCCAAGTAATCTAGTATTGAAATGGTTTTATTTCCTCCCCTTAAGAAATATACTAAATCTGATAATTAGGCCCTGTTTGGATCTCCTAAGAAAAATGAGAAGGAGGTAGAAAAAGGATAATGACATCTAAGCACTTGGATTCTAGAATACTCTAAATCTACTATTTGGAGATTTTCATTATGCAAAGGCAACAATCACCATCAGAATGAGATCCAAACATCCCTCGTTTTTTTATCCAAAATTCAGATTCGTTGTTGACATTCTAGAATCCAAATTTTTACTATGAGAATGAGATCCAAACAGGCCCCTAATGAAATGTATGTTCTTTCTCTAGAGAAGAATAGAGGAGGAACATATTGAAATCACGTAGTAGTAATAATAGCAATATAACTATGCAAAGGTCTTCAAGACCGGAAAGGACAAAGATCAACAAGGCCATAATAAATTAGAAAATAACTAATGTCGTAAGAAAACAATGATTACATGCACCGGCGGAGACACCGCCCCACGACCCCGGGCGGCTGCTTGGGTTCGTCGGTGAAGCGCAAAAGAAATTTTTTCTTTGTATCATAGAGAAACACTATATTCTCTAGATAAATATTTTTGCATAATAAAAGTCGCCCGGGCTCCTAAAAGTTTATATAGCTCCACCACTGGTTACTTGCTCTGTGTTTCACAAAACCATCTCAGTCATCAATGTGTGTTAACAATGAATAATAAAAAGAACAGTGGAAATTTAGAGTATACTGTGACAGGAAAATGCAATTTGATAAAAATCAAGAATTTCATTAAACTTTTGAGAATAAATTCATTAAATATTTTTAAAGGAATATTGTAAATTATTTGTGAATATATGTGTCAACTAATAAAAAATGATGAATACACAGTACTAAGAAACTCAGATATGGAAGAAGGCCGCTTAATAATTATAACAAGAAATTTCAAGCAAGTACCTTGTAAACACAACCATAACCACCTTTTCCTAGTATATATGAGAAATTATTTGAAGCTGCAGCAAGCTCAGAGAACTCAAAAACTGTAAAGCCTCCTGCAGAAAACTCAAACATAGAATAAAGCCATTTGATAATTATCAGAGGGATTTCAAGCAAATAAATACCATGTAAACATAATCATAACAACTTTTCCAACATAAATTTAGAAATTATTTGAAGTTGCACCAAGCTCAGAGATCTCAAAAGCTGTCAACCCTCTTGGAAAAGAGTAAGGATTCAGGAAATTACTCAGTATGTTTCTTTGTATACATCTAGTGTTGCTGTAATTCTGAGCTTTTTTACTAGCATTATTTTCCTCTGTGCCACTTGGTTTTTAAATTATTTCACATATAGCAGAGGAAAATTCTATGCAGATGGTGCAGTGTCTGGCCAACAAGCACTTACATTCCATCAAGTTGCTGCTACAAATTTTCGGTCATTCTTCAGGACTCAAGACTAAGATGGCTAAAAGTTCGGTGATGCCTACCCACTGTTCAGAGGACGAAGTGGCCATCACGTCCAGCATTTTGTCATGTGCAGTAAAGAATTTATTTGGGTCTACCACTCACATTTTGTAAGCCTACCAAGACTGTTTCTTTGCCTTTGTTTGATAAGGATGCTGATCATCTTCCGGGTTGGAAGGCCTCCCACATGAACAGGGCTAGATGCTTGATTATGGTACAGGTTGTGATGACAGCCACTCGATTTATCTCATGGTCACTTCGGATTTACCAAAGTGGGTGATCAAAGCGTTGACAAGAGGCGAAGAGGGTTCCTTTGGAAGGGTCATGAGCAAGGCAACGGCCGTAATTGTCATGTTTATTGGGACAAGGTTCAATCCCCAATTCAATATGGTGGCCTGGGTATACATAATCTTGAAACCTTGGGTTCGGCTTTGCACATTAAATGGCTTTGGGCTGAAAAAATAGGCAACGGCGGTGTACGCAATAGAGATTGCAAGTAGTAGTAGATTGTATTGCATTGGGGCCCATGGGCTGATTATATGCAGTGCATAGGACTAACACCTTACGTAAGTAGCCAATGTGGTACCAGCTCAACCTACATATGTCCTAGACTAGAAGTCTAGGTGGGCTGGTCGGCTCTACAGCCCAACACAAGCCCAAGTCTCATACAAGGAACCAGCTGGGCTACTACAAGGAAAGACCCAAAACCCATATACACATAATCTGTCTAACAGTCAGCATTGGGCAGTTCTTTTGCACGCCTTGGAGCAGGCATTTAATCCATCCAACTTTCTTTTGCACCCCTTGGAGCAGGTGTGTTCACAAGAAGACTGCATCTGTTCTTTGCATGACCACCATCAAGAATGAGGACAAGCTTGAGTTCAGCAAGATCCTGCAGGCTATTAAGGTTGGATGCTATGAATATCTTTTTCTCTGCATCCAATTTGTGTTCTATTGACTCTTGTACTGACTGGAACTCATTCACTCCTAGGCCAACTTCAACGACAAGTTTGATGAGATCAGGAAGAAGTGTGGTGGTGGTGTCATGGGTTCCAAATCACATGCGAAAACCAAGGCCAGGGAAAATCTGCTTGCCAAGTAAGCTGCTCAGCGGATGACCTAAGCCACTCCCTGTTAAATTTATCTTGTACGAACATGTGCAATCATAGTGATGTGTATGTACAAAATGTTGCCATAGGGTTAGCATGGGCAACATACTAGTTTGCATAATCTGCAAAAAAAAATCTGATTTATAACAAAGATATATCGATTCTAGTAACAGTATTAGAAATATTTAATAAAGCATGTATTACTTCTATTTCCATTGTCAAAGCATATCAACGTAATTTGGAGGCCGGATATACTTTTATAAAATAAGAATAATTATATGATTTATTTATTTATCAAAAAATATAACTAGACAAATCCAAGAGGAAATACGTGGCATTTTATTAAGAAGAAAATAGTTGTATGGGTTATTTATTTATCACCAAAGGAAGCTCCATCATGCTGCTGTTCTTGCACTGCAGATAGCTCATTTACTGCTCCAACTTCTACTGATTCATTGTCATTGTCAACAGATACGCTTCCTTGGTTCCTGACATTGTTGATATCAAGTTGTTGAATGCTACAAGTTTAAATTTTAGGCAAAATAAATAAAGTAATTTGTCGATCATGCTTGGCTAGGTCACATCTATAACAGTTATCAAGGTATAAAAGAACAGGGAATTTTAAAGTGTCCACAAAACACCTGTACAGGAGAAGTAGGACTCATTTATACTTTTTTTCACACATCTGATTTTTAAAATTTGATAATTAATCAATCGTTGACGTAACAGTTGAAGCTAAAAAAAATCTGTAACACAAAGTCTCAGGACTCCTGCAAAATAACCACTGCTGTTTGTATTTTTTGCAAGCTAGACGAACGAAAGTTATGGGGTGTCATTTTGGAATTTTCTTGTGGCGGTCTTGTAATAGCCATGGTTTATGAGGCGTCGCCTTGGCAACAAGGTGTACCCAGGGTGCTGGGCATCGGGGTCGCCACGGCCTGCGTGCGTATGGCGTCCACCATATGAGATTAAGCGTCGACTAGGCATGGAAAGGCGTTGGGCGAGCCCCTAGAGGCCTGCGGCGGATGCCGGAGCAGCAAATCGAGAGGAAGGCGGAATCGGGCGCGGAATTGACCACGCGCGATGAAAGGTGGAAGGGAAATCGACCGCCCGTCCGCGCTAGAAGCCTAGAAGGAAAAGGGCAGGAAGCAACCGTATATATGCTGTTGTGCGGCAAATATCCCGCTCGTAGGCTTTTACCGCGGGTGCAGGCAGCTGCAACTTCACGGAGAGAGGAGAGGAAAAGAGGCGGCGGTGGCCTTGCTTCTTGGCGGCGGAGGCGGAGGTGGAGGCTTGCCGCTACTGAGTCCACCGGCCGCGCGCACCTCCCGCGAGTCCGCCCCTGCATCTCCGCCTAGCTGCTCGAGTCCACCAGGGGTCCGTCCGCACCTGCAGCTCCTACCCGTCTGCACCTGCTCGCCTTTCTCCGTCGACCGGCCGGACCTGCAGTCGTCTGCCTGGTATGCTCCCTGCCTCCTCTCTGGTCTCCTCTGCAGCCCTGCTTCCCTCCTCTTCCTCTGTTTCTTTCCCTGTCTCTCCTATGCTTGTGCTTTGTTATTATATAGTATATGGCACCTAAAATGTGTGTATGGCGTCTCCTAGGTGTCCGCCATAAATGCCTAGGCATTGGGGGGTAGGGTGCCACGCAACGCCACAGCGCCTCAAAACCCCAATAAAAAAACGTGGCAAATCTACAATTGCACCTAAGTTCTTCAAAATCCAACAAAGTCATAGTCCTTAGTCCTTAGCTAGATATTGGAATACAAGTCCACAATCGTTATTAGACAAAATAAATAACTGAGTCCTCTTATTTTGCTTAAAGAATGTTAATAAGATTGCTTGTTGAGGTTATGTAACTAGCTTCTCACAAAAGCTACTTAAAAATCTGCTTTCGAGAAACCAATTTAAAAGCCTGTTGCTTATCAAATAAATAGGTAGTTTTTACTTGATCATGTATTTTTCTTTTTCTCTGCCTTTGTACTTCACAAATTTAAGGATTTTCTGAAGTGACCGTTTGTTTCTCTTGATTCAGTTTAGATGGTAGCACTTTTTTTCTTCAAAGCTCGCTTTAGGGTCTATTGATTATATGTTTCTTCTACCAACCATTCAGGAATGTGGACTGCATAGGGTCATTTTGTATGTGGATGTGCAGGAAATCATATATGGCTATAGGTAATGGGACCTTTGTCTGTCTCCAAAGTGTGCACATTCCACCCTCAAAACCTCTATGCCCCTCAATTCTTACATCTTTAGTTTTAGACTACAAATCCTATGGCAACGCGCGGAAAATTCATCTAGTTTAATCTATGTAAGAATCTTCCTCTTACTACCTCAACAGAATAAGCAATGTAAAATGTGACTTGTAGAGGAGAAAAATGGATATTGTACACACTTTACCCGGAATCAAGGTTGGCATGACTTGCAGATGACTCCAGTACTTCTTCTGAAGCCTGAAATGACAAGGCATCATTTTAGGATCACAAGTTTTTTTTTTTGTGAGGGAGGGTGTAGACTAAACCAAACTGACTCTCACGCTTCAATAGAGTTTTCCATAAGAAATCACTTTAATGAAATCCTGAAATGACACTGCTGTATTTAATTAGTATAAAACCTACAGTGGGCATGTGCAAGAAACTAGGCCTTCAGTCAAGGACTCACCAGCTCCAATAAGAGAAGTCCTAAAACTGTAGGAACAATATAAGGCAGACACTACTTCAACATTTATACCTGTGGTTGGGCGACCGAAGGATGTGCACGGCTGTAAAGTCTAGTTATGAACTCTTTTGTGTCGATGTGGCTGACCAGAGGGTACAGCCGGAGATATGAATCAATTCTATCTCGTATGTCACGGAACTTCTGAGCCTGAGTTCCTGCCATGAGGAAGCGATACATGATGTTGCTCTGCTGGCAGGACACGACTAGCATGTACGCCTGCCGGAGTGTGCCTTCAAATCCGTCCAGCGGTCTCCGGATCTCAGGGCGCTGCATCGTCTCCGATTTCTGAAGCATCATCAGGAGATGGCCGATCATCATGACATGGTTCATAAGGTGCTGGCACTCCTCCCTGTTCCGGCGAACAGTTTGCGCTGCCTGGACGATCATCGAGATGAGCCCACCAGCGTCGACTCCAGCCAGCTGTGCAACGGTAGCAGCCTGGCTCAGACCATTCCATAGTGCCATCGATCATGTACTCAGTATTTTTTTCTCACAACAAACCAGCACCAACCAGCCTAAATCAGCCCAAAAGCCAACCAGCGAACAGGCCGGCCTCCTCTATGGACCTGTGGACAAGGACAACATGAAAGCTGATGCAAGATGAGAAACAGTAGTGCGGAACTGCAGACCGAGCAGAAGGCCCGTCCAATTAAGCACTAGCGTTCTTGTACTTCTAATCAGGGCTCGGCTCGCTCCTGTTAAGCGCACTGTAATCTGAACTTTCTTAGGCTGCGTTCGTTTGGCAGGGAACTTTGTCCAGGAACTATTCCTACCAGGAATGCTAGTGTAATTTGTATAGCAAATCCTCACTAAGAACTATTTTTGGCAGGAATGGTCATAAACGAACGAGCCCTTATGAATCTTAATGAAATCCAGGCGGGGAATCTCTCCCCTCCGTAGTTCCTTTTCAAAAAGAAACGGTAGAGCGGAGACGAAGCTACGATTCCTAAATATTCCTCAATCCGACAGGGAACAAACTGAACAGTCTACGGTTGATTGCAGACAACGCTTAGAACTTACGAGTGTAGAGTAAACCACTTGCTGAAGAAGTTTGGGCACTTGATCCCCAACAGGTGGCAGCCAGCACTCAAACCTCGATGATCGAAACTTCCCAGAAGATGATCGATTCGATTCAAGAAAAGGGAGGTGGCGTCCGTTGACCCCCGAGAGGCCAGAAAACCAAGTCCACTAGCTTCAATTAAACAAATTCAGAAACTGATGATAGGTAGAACGTCCACTAGAATGTTAAAAAAAAAACGTCCACTAGCTTCAATCAATTAAACAAATTCACAAACTGCCCATAGGTGAAATAGGTAGAACTTCTAACCTCCCGCCACTGCACGCTCCATCCGGTGGGACTTGGGAGCAAGGTTTTCATTATTGGAAATAAAAATTTATCGGAGGTCATGGATAAATAGGATAAGCAAGATATATCAGAAATATCGGACCAAATTAAAAAAAAATTCAAATTGTTTTGAAAAAATTCCGTAGAATTTGACTTGAAACTATTCCTAAGTTATTAAACATCATTTGTTCATAGATAAAAACAAGAATAAAACATTATAGTGTGGGATTGTCGCACGGCTGAATTTGGGTTGTCTGTGTGGAAGCAGGAAAGAAGGAAAAAATTTGGCCGATGCCAAATTTTATCAGACCATGTGGATAGAAAGGAAATTTCCGGAAATTTCGGCCGATAAAAAAAACCTTGCTTGGGAGTAGGCCTGATAATTGGACGGGCCTTCTGCTCGGCCCGCGCACAACCCAACCAGCGAGCGTTGTCGTGCCACCCGATGTCGCCAGTGAGGAACTGGTGCCATAATGCCGCCCCACATTGCACAAGATTGGCCTGCTCTTTTCCCACCTTTCTTCTTCTAAGAGAGTAGTCTTCCACAAGACGATCTTCACGACATCTTGTAAGCATGATAGCCACTGCTGTCTTAGCCTTCTTCTGCATAGTGTTTTATTTTTGCTGTCAGAACTAATAAGAACTTAACATAAAGTCCAGCAGGATCAGATGCTTACTATTAGTGGAATCAAGATATGCAAAACACATATAAAAAACTACAAAGACGGAGAACAATGTATGAAGCCCACACTCACATCATTGTACTGTGGCTTTGCTTTCCTCTTCTGGCCACAGCCTTTCTTCTTCTCTTCTACCTCTGTGTCTCTTTAGCTTGAGTTTTGAAACTTTCCTAGAACAACCAGGCAACAACCATCATCAGCAAATTAAAAGAAGCAAAACACTACAAAAATGAAAAGCATATAAAATGTTTTGAAACTTTCCTAGAACAACCAGTGGGAATTTCATACTTGAGCAATTCGTTCCATCGATCTTCTCAATTAGAAACTCTGAAAAGAGTTGTGTCTTCGTAATCAGCTCATATTCTAACTTGCTACACCATGTCTCAGGATCAAAAGCAAGTCTTTGCAGCCTCCTCCTTCCTGGCTTCCTCTGCCTTGTAAGACAATTAGTTTGTCCTGTGAAAATCATAAAGTTCAATCGATAAAGCAGATATTTGACAAGTGTGTTGCCTGCATTGTTAACTCAGGTGAACTTTGTTATAGAAAGATCGGTAACATAACATTTCACTACAGGATTTGGTAGTGTAACCCATCTTTTTTGAGACAAAATCAGTTACAGGTATGATTGGTATGGATTGCATCAGTTAAATTGTTATTTGGACACAGAAAGATGTGCCCACTGACCAACAAACGTAACAAGCAGAGAAGGTCAGGGAGATGCAAACTTGCAAAGATCTATGCTCCATTACACAAGCTTTGGTCCATACTGCTGTAACTTCCATACAATTGGATGACAAATCACATGGTGAATGTACCAATAGTTTATTCATACAACGATGATGCAAATACTTTGCATTCGGAATGACCAAATAACCTCGGTGCAGGCTGGCTCTCGGTATTTTTTAGATTAGATTAGATTAGATTAGATGTAGAGATTACTGGGCTGGCACCGGCAGTAATAGGAAGGTCCATCGCTCTGGTCGATACTCTTTGTCGGTCCAATCTCGGTAGTGACGCCGAATTTGAATCCACAGATCTGGAGGGAGTAGTGCAAGTAGCGTTACACGTCTTGCTCCGCGCCACAAGTCCAGATACCATTTTAGAGGTACACGTGCTGCGTGGATAAGCTTCACATGGGCATCCAGATGTCAGCCACACCACATGTCTACACATGCATGGCACACCCTGCCCAATGTCCAGAGTCCGGACTCACAGCTAACAAACCAAACCACTCTCACTCACTGCTGCAGAAACAATTTGTAGCAATCGCAGATTTTTTAGAGTGGCTCCATGATCAGTAACCACCCCTATAGTGGGCGTGCTCGGGTCCCATGATTCTAGCTGCCCCTACAAATCGAACAGTAGAGGTGGCTAGTGATACGACAACCCTACAGATGGGTCGATTTGTAGGGGCGGCTCACCCACTAGCCACCCCTACTGTTTGATTCGTAGGAGCGGCTCAATCACCAGCCACCCCTACAAATGCCCTCAATATAAAGGGCTGACGCCCCCCTTTTTGCTCCTCAGGCTAGTTACTGTAGCTGAGAGAGGAAGTAAGGGAGGCCTTAGGCACCTCCCAAAAATTGCTCTTTCAAGGAGGCAGGTTTTGATTTTATTTTCTTTGATGGAGAGGTTGTAGAAGGTAAGAAAATATTATTTCAAATATTTTTTAAGTTTTAATGTTTGGTTAGTGAGTAATTAGAGTCATGTATGAAGCAAATTAGACCAAAGTTTTGAAGGTATTAGGGTAAATTAGTTAAAGCAATAAGATTACACCCTTATTTAGTGGATCTTGCTTGATTTTAGTGGACTATTAGTTAGTTTTATAGATATTTCATGTACATCTAGATCTAGAACTAGGGTTTGGTTTTTTTCTTTAAGTAATTACATTCTTATGAATTTTTATTTGTCAAATAAATAGGATTCATTTTGCATGAAGGATAGTGGGTAAAATATAAATTGTTGCTAATATTTGTCTTTGAATTGTTTATTGTATGTATTTTTAATTTGTTATGGCTAAATATGTCGTTAATTATTCTCTTGAACGGTTTTCCATTAAAGTGCTAGTTATATTCTTCCAAGTAATTATTAATTTGATTTTTGTATGTATATATATCTGAATAATTAGTCAGCCACACCACATGTCCACACATGGCACACCCTGCCCAGTGTCCGGACTCACAGCTAACAAACCAAACCACTCTTTTCCTCTAGTACGTAGCTCCCGTCAGTGCATCACTCCGTCTCCATGGCCGCCAAGCAAGAACACCAGGAGCAGCAGCACAGCAGTGCCCACGGCCACCATTTCCTGGTGGTGGCCTACGGCATGCAGAGCCACGTGAACCCAGGGCGTGCCCTGGCACACCGTCTCGCACGGCTGAGCCACATCGACGGCCGCCCCATCCTCGCCACGTTCTCCGTGCCGGTCGCCGCCCAATGCCGCCTGTTCCCCTCGCCGGACAGCGGTGGAGACGAGGATCCGGAGGTCTGCAGCGACGGCATCATCTCCTACGTTCCCCACTCGGACGGCTTCGACGACGGCGCCAGCGCGTCCAACACCGCTGAGGACTGGGCGCGCCGGCGCCGCGTGACCGCCGAGAGCCTCTCCGCCATCATTGACAGCTTCGCCGCTGGTGGGACACCGGTCACGTGCATCGTGTTCACGATGGTGGGGCCCGCGATGGTGGATGTGGCGAGGCGCCACGACATCTCCTTCGCCGTGTACTGGATCCAGCCGGCCACCGTCCTCGCCATCGAGGACCACTACTTCCACGGCGCCTACCGCGAGCTCGTCGCCTGCCACGCCGCCAGTGACGATGGCGACCCCGCGCACGAGGTGAGCCTGCCTGGCCTGAGCCGTCCTTGTTAAACTATTCGGATCGTCTAGGTAGGGATCTAGCCGGGGTGCATGATAGATCAAAGACCTAGAACTAGTTCTAGTACTACCAGAGGAAAAACAGAGAGGGGAAGTTGAGATCTTAGGACCTGACACCGCGGAAGGGGTAGATCGAGAAGCCTCCATCGGGTTCGCTGTCGTAGGCTGCGCACGGGCAGCGACGGTCGGTGAAGTCAGGCGATGGGGTGCGGTGCAGTGAAGCCGATGGTGATGACGGTGGCGTCTTCCCGTCGCTGGCTGCACACCCTTGCTAGATCGGACTTAGGTTTTGTTGGTGGGGCGGATTGGCTCACGGTGAACCTCGTACCTTGAGCCGCCGACCCCCACCACTTTATATAGCGCAGTGCGACGGGGGCCCACCAACCATGTAGGGTTGGGCGCCCCCGATCAGGGCACATGACCAAGGCCCAATAGGTCGTTGGGCTTATTGGCTGGGAGATCAATCTAGCATTCTCCCCCTTGATCTCACTATTACTTTTATCTTTAAACTTTAAACTTCAATCCTTTTATCCTTACTCATTTCTTTACAGATGATGCATAGAGCATGTTTCATCGTCACGGTCAATTGCCGATAGATTTAACAGCTACAATGCACGTCTCTGATCTAAAATAGTTACTTTAACTTTTGGGCCCTTTATAGTCCAGGAATCATAGGCTTTCCCTTAAACCCATGCCGGCTACATGTTCTCTGAACACGTTGGGTGGTAAGCCTTTTGTAAGCGGATCCGCGAGCATCTTTCCGGTACTTATATGCTCAAGACTTATCATTTGATCCCGGACTTTATCCTTCACAATATAATACTTTATGTCAATGTGTTTGGCAGCACCACTTGATCTATTGTTGTGAGCATACTGTACTGCTAGATTATTATCGCAGTATAACTTCAGTGGTCCATTGATGTCGTCAACCACCTTCAAACCGGGTATGAACTTCTTTAGCCAGTTCACTTGCCCCGTTGCCTCATAACACGCTACAAACTCGGTATACATTGTGGATGATGTAGTGACGGTTTGCTTTGAGCTTTTCCATGAAATAGCTCCCCCTGCGAGAGTGAACACATATCCAGACGTGGATTTTCTATTATCTCTCGCATAATCAGAATCTGAATATCCCACTATATGGAGTGAATCAGATCTTCTATACGTCATCATGAGGCCTTTCATTCCTTGCAAATAACGCAAGACTTTCTTTACCAATTTCCAGTGTTCTATTCCAGGATTGCTCTAGAATCTGCCAAGTAACCCGGTAACAAATGTCAAGTCAGGGCGCGTGCATACTTGAGCATATTGCAAGCTTCCGACAGCTGAAGCATATGGAACCACTTTCATTTGGTTGATCTCATATTGGTTCCTGGGGCATTGAAAATCCTCATATCTGTCGCCTTGACTATAGGAGCAGGTGAGGGACTACATTTGTGCATACTGAATTTCTTTAAGACTTTTTCTATGTATGCTTTTTGTGATAGTCCTAATACCCCTTTACTTCTATCTCGGTGAATCTCGATCCCTAGAATGACCGAAGCTTCACCAAAATCTTTCATATCAAATTTTGAGGACAAATTTTTTTTTGTCTCCAGTAGTAGACTGACATCACTACTAGCAAGTAAGATATCATCCACATACAGGATAAGGAAGATAAACTTCCCATTCTTAAACTTTGCGTAGACACAATTGTCCTCAACATTATCTTTAAATCCAAAATTCTTTATTATCTGATCAAACTTCAAGTACCACTGTCTTAAAGCTTGTTTTAATCCATAAATGGATTTCTTTAGGCGGCATCCCAAACGTTCTTTTCCTTCCATTACAAAACCTTTCGGTTGTGCCATGTAAACATTTTCCTCTAAGTCTCCGTTGAGAAATGCCGTCTTTACATCCATCTGATGTAATTCTAAATCGTAATGTGCCACTAATGCTATTATGATTATGAAGGAATCCTTACATGAGATTGGAGAAAAGGTCTTATTGTAATCAATCTCTTCTCTTTGTGTAAAGCCTTTTGCCACAAGTCGGGCTTTATATCTCTCTATATTCCCTTGAGAGTCAAGTTTTGTTTTGTAGACCTATTTACAGCCTACTGTTTTGGCTCCTTTAGGAATTATCTCCAAATCCCAAACTTTATTTGCATTCATTGATCTCATTTCATCTTCCATGGCCTCAAGCCACTTTGATGAATGATCACTTTTCATGGCTTCTTCAAATGAGGTGGGATCATCCTCTATTTGAAATTCTTCAGTGTTGTACACTTCATAACCAGTAGGAATAGCTGATTTTCTAACTCTTTGAGACCTTCTAGGGGCCTCCTTATTTGGCACATTTTCTGTTTGAGGCTGTTGTTGCTCCCCCTCATGTGTGGCAATAGGTTCTATAGGATCCTGAGGAACAGGTTCCTCTTCATCATTCATTGTTGCCACAGGCGGGATAACAATAGGTGCTAGCACCACAATGTCTTGTACTGTCGGTGCAGCAACAACAGGTAGTGAGAAAAATGGCTCATGAATTATCGGAGTGCGTGCATACACCCGCTTCTCTTCAAGGTTAATTTCTCGAGCTACCATGCTCCCCCTCATCATTTCATCCTCTAGGAAGACAGCGTGTCTCGTTTCCACAAACTTTGTATGTCTATCTGGACAGTAGAAACGGAAACCTTTTGACTTTTCTGGGTAGCCAATGAAATGACAACTCACTGTTTTGGGATCTAGCTTCCCAATGTTTGGGTTAAAAACTTTAGCCTCAGCAGGGCTCCCCCACACACACAAGTGGTTAAGTGAGGGTACTCTTCCTGTCCACAACTCATACGGTGTTTTGGGCATCGATTTACTTGGTACTCTATTGAGAATATGAATGGCGGTTTTTAACGCCTCCATCCACAGACTCATTGGTAAAGTGGAGTAACTTATCATACTGCGCACCATATCCATCAGGGTACGATTGCGCCTTTCAGCTACTCCATTCTGTTGAGGTTCGCCCGGTGTGGAATACTGGGCTACTATGATATTCTCCTATAAGAACCTTGCAAAAGGTCCAGGAACTTGGCCATATCGGGTATGCCGACCGTAGTACTCCCCCCCACGGTCAAACCTGGCTATCTTAATCTTTAAATCATACTGATTTTCAACTTCTGCTTTAAATATTTTGAATTTATCCAACGCTTCTGTTCTCTCTTTAATTGGATAAATATAGCCATAATGGGAGTAATCATCTATGAATGTTATGAATGAATCATAACCATCCACACTTTTCACAGGAAAAGGGCCACAGATATCTATGTGAATAATCTGTAGAATTCCTGCGCTTCGTTTGGCATCTTTCTTAATTTTCTTTACATACTTTCCTTTTATGCAATCTCTACATTGTTCTAAATCTGAGAGCTCTAATGGAGGAAGAATATCATTCTTAACTAGTCTTTCTATTCTCCCCCTCGAAATATGGCCTAAACGACAGTGCCATAATTTCGACAACGCATCGTGAGCTCTCTTTCGTTTTCTGTTTGCATTGTTCGATGAGGATACATTCTCATTCACATCACATACGGAATTCACATTTTCATGAAGTGATAACAAATAAAGCTCGTCTTGTCGGAAGGCAAGACCAATACATCTATTATTAAACAATATCAGACATTTGTCATTTCCAAAATGGCAATCATAACCATCATGGTCCAACTTTGATACACTAATCAAGTTTCTTTGCAAAGAAGGTATATAAAGAACATCTCTAAGAAAAAGTATGAAGCCATCAGCAAGCTCTAGCGGAAGATCGCCAACGGCCTCAACATCTGCTTGTACTCCATTTGCGACTTTAATGAAACTTTCACTTCTTTGCAAAGTTCTCATCGAACGGAATCCCTGTAATGAATTAGCAACATGAATAGATGTACCTGAATTAATCCACCAAGTAGATTTTGAAAACTTGACATACAAGGATTCATTTATGAACGTAATAATGTTCTTACCTTTATTTTTCATAATCATCTTTAAGAAATCGAGACAATTCTTCTTATAATGTCCCGTCTTCTTATAGTAGACACACTGGTCTTTATCCACTGGGAATTGCTTGTTCTAAGACTGTTGCATGGGACCCTTTCCAGATAACTTGGAGGAAGAGTTGTTATTATAGTTCTTTTTCTTATCTTTTAGGTAGTTGACAGTACCACCCTGTGAAACTTTTATTCTTTCCTCCTCCTGCACACACATGGCTATGAGCTTTTTTAAATCCCATTTTCAGGCTGTATGTTGTAATTAACAACAAATGTGTCAAATTCTATTGGTTTGAGCTTAGATGCCAAATTGCTCGTTCTCAGTATATGCTCTCTAATGTCACTGTCGCCACCAGAGTACCTTTCTGTGACCAGCTGCTTGATCAGCTGGGTTGCATATGTCTTTGAAGAGCCAGTGAACTGACTCTTTATTCTTTCTAGGTACTCTGTGACCGTGTCACAGTCTGGAATTGAGCCCAATATTGCAGGCTCAATTGTATTCTTTATCATAGCCAAACATTTCTTATTGGCTGTGACCCACTTTCTATTTTCAAGGTCAAAAGACATATTTACGGGAGCAAAGTCCCGCTCTCTGTTCTGCCATGCAGCATCAGTCTCATCTGTCTCCCTCACCGGTGCCACAGGTTCTTTGGGACACGGTGTGGTGACAACCCAGTCCACCTCAGCCAATATGAAGGTCAAGTCGATCTTTTTTTGGCCCAAAACCGCAGAAAACGGCTCGGCCCTTTTCCTTTCGCGCGAACAGGCCGCACCTAGGCCGCAACCTGGGCCTGGGCCGCAAAGTCCGCCCGTCCGCGCCTGCCTGGGCCACGACGCCGGCCCGAGCATCTGGCGCAGTTGGGGCTGATCGGACGGCTGCGCGGCGTCTTCGGGTGAACAAATCCCGCCCCCGGCCGCGGTCAGCCAACCCTAGCGGCCATTTGCATTCGCTCTCTCTCTCTCTCTCTCTCTCTCTCTCTCTCTCTTCGCCTCACTGCTCTCTCTTCTCTCCTTAGTCAGTCACCGAGCGAGCGAGCAATCCACGGCGAGAGCAAGTAGCGAGCCCAGGCGCCGTCGGATATGGGACTTCCCGTCCTTCCTGCGTGACACGACAGGCAGCGTGCCGGCCAACGCCCTCATGGAAATGTTCCGAGAGCTGTTCGAGAGCATGGACCAATGGCGGCCCAAGGTGCTCGTGAACACGATCGAGGAGCTGGAGGCGGACGTGCTCGTGGAGATGAAGCGGCACCTGGACGTTGTCACCGTCGGCCCCATGGTCAGGTCCTCGACGGACGCACGGATCCATCTGTTCGAGCTCGACGTCGGCGTGGACAAGAAGAGGTACATGGAGTGGCTTCGTGCCCACCCGGACAGGTCGGTGGTGTACGCGTCGTTCGGGAGCGTGACGAAGGTCCCCAGGCGGCAGATGGACGAGGTAGCTGCAGGGTTGCGATAGTGTGGACGGCCATACATGCTGGTCGTGCGCAGGGACGGGGTCGAGGACGATGGCGACGATGAGAGCAGCCGCCATGGCTCGCCGGACTTGGAGAACACCCAGCAGAGCCAGCAGGGGATGGTTGTGGACTGGTGCGACCAGCTGGAGGTCCTATCGCACCCGGCGGTCGGGTGCTTCTTCTCGCACTGCGGGTGGAACTCGACGGTGGAGGCTGTGGCGTCCGGCGTTCCGATCGTTGGTGTGCCCAACTCGTATGACCAGCCGACGAATGCGTACTTGGTCGAGGAAGAGTGGGAGGTTGGCGTCAGAGGAGGGCGAAACAGCGATGGTGTCGTAACAGGGACAGAGCTGGCTAGGTGCATTGAGTTGGTCATGGGTGATGGTGCAAAGGCAGTGGCGATAAGGGAGAGGATGAAGGAATTGAAAGAGATAGCGCAAGCAGCAGTGAGTACAGGCAGGTCTGTGGAGAGAAACCTCTGTGACTTTGTCAAAACATTCCAAGCTCTTGAGTCCTGATCGACACACTTTGCATTGAGACAAGAGGTGTGTCATGTCCAAATCAGTATAAATAAACCCGTAGTCGAGAATCTAACTGTTCTGCAGGAACTTTCGTGGCAACGACTTCTTTTGGTGTTGTGCGGTGCCACAACTTGAATGAAGCCAAATTAGCTGGATCGGAAGATACAGATCATCCCTTGATCATGTGCAAATTCTAGTAATATATCTTGTTCGCCAAAGGCTAAGACCCTATCAACCATTGCACGGACAACAAGGCAATCAATATTGTGGCTGGTACCGTAATAAACTCTGCTCATTACTATTACACTAGTTCCCCTTTTATAGGGGATGGGTACATCTTTTCACCTTCCCGAGAATGTCGCATACTACCTACAAAACGTGGGGTCCCTATTACCACAGGGCTCGAAAGAACATTCTTCCTCCAAACCGCCTTACATTATGGGCCTTCTTGGGTCCTTCTTAGGCTCCTTTTGTTTTGGGCTGCAGCCCTTGACTCCTCCGCTGAGGCGCACGGATAGCAAAGGTCTGACGGGACCCTCGCCAGCTTCTGAGGTCTTCAATCATGCCTTGGTCTCTAGCTGCCACATCATTTGGGCGAAGGCTCCCCTTATCTTCAATCGCCCGGTCCCCAAGGTTGTGCCGAAGGCTCCCTCTTTGCCTCTTGTTGTGGACTCCGCTTCTTAGCTTCCGGAGGCAGGAGGCTAAATATGAAGGCTTTGACCCGAAGGCTTCCCCGGTCTTTGGTGGTCGGATCGGTTACTCAACTCCGCCTAGGAACACGATTCACAACACAAGGGAAATGTAAGCTCAAGTGAACCTTTAGGAGCAGGGCCTCGTCCCAACATATCTCATATTTACACTATCTCTCCATGAAAGTTATCCGCATCAATAATCCACTAGTTATGTCTTCCAATCCATGTCAGCGACACACATCTTACACTAACATGCATTTAGTTATCTACATCAGCATGACATACTATCTATAAACATGCATATATGATAGTTTATACGTACCTTCATGTAAGTAAATAACTATTCTAATTTTATTCCAAATGCATCTACGTTTCTCGCAACAACACATGTAAGCAGGTATCTTTCTGATTTCACTGATGTGCATGTACAGTGCTTCTAATAATTATTTTGGTCCTTGTCGTGACCACAGCGCTTGCATGCCCCCCTCGATAGTTTTACTTATGCTTCACTTGATGTACACGCCTCAAGTTAAAATTACATGTTATTTTACCTTTAGGTCATATTTGGACCCAATAGCAGCTAATAGTTAGCTGACAAATTAATAGTTCACCTAATAGTTCATGGTTAATATTTGATTATTTGTTGGGTATTGTTTGAACTCATCTTCTAAAAGTGGATGCACATGTGGTGTTTATGCATAGTGCCCTTCTTTTTTATATTTGTTATTGGGATGGAATATGGGTACAGAGTAGATGGGAGAGAAAAGGTGTATTTTTTATATTTGCTACGGTTGTCATTGACGAGGATCCGTGAACCGAAGACAAGAGTCGATCCTGCCGGAACATTCATGGTGATGTTAAAGTCCATCGAGCTCTAGATCGCGAATTCGTCGAAAGCCCGTACCTAGCGCGCCAGTTGTTGGTGTTTCATAACTGGCAATACGTCTCAGGGCTACCCAGGACGATGATTAAAGGGCTTCGGCATATGCAGAACTCAATGATAAACGCAAAGACAACATTTTATACTGGTTCGGTCCGCTAGAATAGCGTAATACCTTACATCTAGTTCGTCATAGGGCCTTGCGTTGGATTGTATTGTATGATATGTTTACAATGGGTGCCCATGCCTTTCTTTATATAGTCCAGAGGACAGACACATTGTTTAGTCCTAGTCGGATACGATAGAGGAGTTTCAGTTTTATTACAGAAGCTATCTTTCCTAGAATCCGACTAGGTCGGTCCTTCTCAGCTTGGAGCACACGCCGCCTTGTCTTGTGTCTTCAAGCAGACCTTGGTTTGGCTCAAGCCCATGCTGGGTAGTTGGCTCTATGGGGGAATCCCTAGGATCCTGGTCCGTTAGGCGCACAGAGCCGCGGTTGCATATTGCTAAAATATGAAAATATGAAAACTTGAGAAATACACATTGTTGAGCTTGGGCTTCTCTATATGATTCTCATATGTATAATTTGGATATCTAGAACAATAATCTAAATAATATCCGACCGATGCAATGTTTTTCTCAAAAGATCTAATAGCAAAAGCATTTGAATTCTCCACAACCACAAAGGTAGATTGGAAATTTATACCTCATGTGTAGATTGTAAATCTTTGACGACATCATCTTCATAGCAAACGATGAGATCGATCGTGCAACCGTTCCCTCATAGTCACCAAAAATTGTATTGGTGCTATAACTTGCCATCACATGACACGTCCATATGCACATGCAAAGGGCTTCTTGCATTGCCTCTGCGAAAACCAGTCTTGCCGATTTTGACAAACTTGGTCAACCATGCCATGGAGATGAGAGAAGAGCTGGTCTGTCTTAGTCTTGACGGCGAGCTAGGGTGCTTTCTCATGCCATGGAGATGAGAGAAGAATGGCAAATATGGTTAGAAAAGTAGGGTAGGAGAAGATAGAAGATAGACATGTACTGATAGATGTGATTAGATCACGTCAATCAACCATGGACCTTTATATTTATATAAGAGCGGGGTGACTTGTCCTGTTAGGAGTCAAAACTCTTACAAATTTCATGTCAAAATACAACTCCAATCTCGGTTTAAGCTGTCAAAATCAGTCTATGGTGTGGATGTAGTTTTAAGAATTTGGCTAGGCCAATTTTCTCAAAACACCTGGATTCACCAACTTTGAGTGCCAACATATATGTCGTACATCCACCGGCCATCCATGGCTTGCATTCATTGACACGAGACAAAGCCCATTAGCTTTGTTGGGTGTGAGCCATGCCACGAGTGGGCAAGGCACTAAGGCATGATGGCCTAGCTAGTCCAACCCCTTCTTGTAAAATGGTCCTGGTTGTAAGGATTAAGGACCTACATGTAATTTGTAATGCAAAGAGGGTTAGTAGAAAGATTGTCTTCTCCTACCTCTCTTATAAATACAGGCTATGAGACAAAAATTAGTGGGTTTCCCTCTCTTACAGCAAAACTCTAGCATTCCCTCACTTCTGTTTGGGCTAGACCCAACAAGCTTCAATTAAACAAGGGTGAAAATGAAAAAGGGTGAAAATGATGTCAGGTGTACTCAGAGTTTGATGGGTATATGTACTGTTTAGTGTAGGGCTCATTTGGCATAGCTCTAGCTTCAAGATTTATTTTGGATCTATAGTTTATAGGCTAATTAAAGTGATTTAAATATTTAACTATAGTTAACATGCCTATCAGCTTCTCATATATTCTTAGCCTGCAAAATTCAATATTAATTGTTGTACAACGTGTCTTCTACAACTGTTGTCTCCCTCGCCCCTGGACCTCGAGCATACCGAACCGATCAAAACCTCAGGCATCCACCCTAAAAACACGTTTTCCGCTTCGAACGAGTTTCCGGTTTATCCGCTGCTAGCTGCCTAACTTTGTTGTTTCTTATACAGGAATGCTACGTCAAATCAAATCTGATAACGATTCATTCGGTTGCCTAAATTAAATAAACCAAATCAAACATGTAACAAGAAGCTCTAGTATACATATAGTATAGAAGAAGGCAGAAAAGCACACGTGCAGTCTGCGTCGATCTGTGCTCAACTGCTCATCGCCATTATCGTCTGACGAGTAAGGGCCCCGAATCGATCGACCCACAACCACGATGGACAAGCACCGACTCGTCGAGACATCGACGTCCTCGAGCTCGAGGTGCGTGACGGCGAGCGTCCAAGCCGCGCGTCCACAATTTCGTGGTGACGAGTTTCTCGCTGCTCGAAAGCATGGCTAAAACCACTGTTGCGCCTCAACGTCGACTGCTTCATAGTGAGGTGTGCATTGACCATCATAGGCGAGTCTCAATCTGAGGATGTAGAAGCATCAGCCGTCGTTGTGGAAGAGTTTCCACAGCCAAACATGCACCAGCACATGGAGCACATGCTGAAGACTGAGAAAGGCACGGACGTGGCGTTCGATGTAGATGGCCAGATCTTCCATGCACACAGATGTGTTCTTACTGCACGGTCTGCGGTGTTTGAATGAGAACTCTTGGGTCCCATGAAGGAGAAGGCCATAGAAGAGCCCATCAAAGTAAGGTTGCAGACATGGAGCCCTCTATCTTCGAGGACCTTCTTCACCTTCATATACACTGGTTCGATATCAGATAGTAACAACGATGTCCATCATAAAAATATGTATATGCATCACTTGCTCGTTGCCGTGGACCGATATGGGATAGATAGGATAAGGCTAATGTGCGAGGTCAGCTTGTGCCATGGCATCGATGCGCAGACGGTTGCCATCATGCTTGCTTTAGCAGAGCAGCACCATTGTGCCAGTCTCAAAGGCGTATGCCTCAAATTTGTTGTCTCACGACAAGATGTACTCGCTGTTGTCATGAAAACAGATGGATTCAAGCATCTCGTGGCAAGTTGCCCTTTGATTGTGGTGGGGATATTAGACAAGATCGCCAAAGCATAAGCAAGAAGTCTCGATCGTTGTGATTTCATCTCTCGCACTACAGAAGTTCTAAGGAAGTTTATCTTTTTTTCTCAAAAAAAAATTAGTATTTGGTTGTCATTTATTTTAGTTGTTTAGGGTTTACAGTGTTAGGAGTAGGATTTAAAGGCTATTTATTACAAGTTTGGGGTTAGGAATTTTGGTCTCTTTTCACCATGTTCCAATCAAGTGCCATCTGAGTTTCTGTCCGTTTGGTTTGGTCATTCAAGTTTCTTAGGGTCAATTTTATTGTAAAGTGAGATAGAATAAGATGAACCATTTATGTTTTTATTAGCATGTGATAATTCTATGTTTGTGTTTGGTTAGTGATGGAAATATTTGATTTTTTTTGTTTTGTAAGAGGGAT